GATATTCATATGTGCTGTTATATATATGAAACAGTCAGAATGAGAAAATCTGTCTTCTGCTACAGATAGAAAGGCAATCCTGTCAGGAAAGAGGACTGTTTGAACTTTAACCTCATCTTCACTTAAATTTGCAGCAGGTCATTTAAATTTGCAGCACCCTGTTGTATAGGATTATTCAGAATATGTAGCTGACACTCCTCACTGGAGCTAAGCCTGTCTTTCTCAGGACTTTTGCTATCGGCAGGAACATTCACTCTTCTGCTTCTGCTGCTCTGAGCAAAGGTCTCAGAACAACAGGCTCCTTCTTCCCTGAGAGCATCAAGCAAAGGAGTTCTCCCTCTTGTGGAGTCAAAGATAACTCTGCTGGAAATTTTAAGCTCTGCTTCCATGACCACACACACACACTGAGACAAACAGGATCGAATGCCTAAGATAGTGGGAGAGAGGTGAATTTAATTTGCAGGTTTCCTTATGTAATGGCGTGGTATGTTCAAGAGCACTGGCTAATCAGAAATAAGGTAATATCTTAAAGAACGTATTTTGACCTGAGCACATGCCGTGTCATTGCAACAAGATTCTGAAATTCTTCTGTGCTGTTGCAGAAACACAGCGAAATGGGACAGGAGTCTTGTTCAGCAGCTTCTCCTTGAATTTATGATCATTACTGTTAAATTTGCCTTTCTTCTATTCCTAAATGACTCTTTGCACTTCCTCACTAAAGAGCAATGATATTAGTGCATATTTCATTCTTTTTTTCTGATCCCTGCATGTAGGTAGAACATTCTTAAACAGCCCCAAGCAGGCTTTTTTTTCTAGCTTAAACTCTTATTACCCTCGCTCTAGCAGGTGTGGCTTACAGTTGGTTTTGGCTCTGTGGAATGAACATTTCTGAGCACTATGTAAATATATTGCTGAATTCTGTCAGTATGCTGAAGTGTATTCAGTTCCATCACTTCACAGAGAGCACATTTTGGGACCAGTTCTTTAAACACCTACTAATTTCTACTGTGTTTTTTACTGAATTGTAGCATGAATGAATTCGTTCTCATTTATTTTCCCTGTGAGAAGAGGATCAGCTCACAATCATTTGCTTTAATGTTGACATCTGTTTGAAAACCATGGTCACGCAAAACAAATTCCACTCCTTTCCTTTGGCTCTAATACTGACCTTTGTAATTAGCTAATAACCAGATGTTTGAGTAACCTCATCTTTCTTGTTTTTCAGTGACATCCGTTACATTAAACGTGTGTTCTTTAATAACTACTTTGAATTTCTTGTGGTTACAATTCAGGCTCCTGATGTATAAGACAAAGAAGTTATTCTGCGCTTAGTGTGTGACATCATGTTTAGGTTTCCATTTTATTTTCCTCATTTGCATTTTTTTTTTTCAGTTTTAGAGATTTTGAGCCACTTGCAAAATTCTAGCACTTGACATAGTTGCTTGGCTGCCACTCCTCATAAAGTCAAAAATCAGTCCTGCAGAAAAAACATGGGAAGACTTACAAAACCTGATAGCTTCTCAACTAGAGAACAGGCACAGATCTAGTACTTGACAGATCTAGTATTACAGATTCAAAGATTGTGCTGTAATACTTGTAAGGTTCCTGTTACACAATGAAGGTAAATTTCAAGAAAAGATATTTAGGAAGTGTCTTCAGTTTCAAGTCTCACATGTGCCAAAAGCGCTTAGTCCTGTAGCAGAGCTGTGATCTGGCTCAGGGCCAGGTTATGCATCTCTCAGGTTGTTTCACACTTCACCCTATCTAAAGTGTGAAGACATTTCTTCACATCTGTAGCTGGGGAACACTGCCCTTATGGCTCTTCAGCGTCACGCAAAGCCCAGATATCTTCAGTCTTTCTGTGGCTAATAGTGTCTCCTCTATCAACACCAACTTGTGTTGGCTGTTCTCCACAGTCTCTTGTCCCTGCAGCCTGCCAGGCTCCCTTTATGCCTCGCAGCTCAGCCTGCACCTCCATGGGCCACGTCTTCCAGAGGCTTCCAGTCTTATCCAAACCCCAGTCCCTTCCACTGCAGAGATGCCAACTGACCAGCTAGATGTCAGTCTCCTCTAATAGTTTATGTAATGATGAGATACTTAGCCTGGATACCGTCTATGAAAAAGTAAAACTGTTTTTTTTGTTTGACTGCATAACTGAGCATCTGTGAATAATGTCAGAAAAATGTGTTTTCCTTTTGAATAAGGAAGTGTTTGGTTAAAGAATTGCTCATAACTGCAGTAAGAAAGAGTCCCACCTGGAGTAACTAGAAAATTTTCCTTCCATAAATGCTTATTTCATTGTGTTATAGAGAACACAAGAGTCAGAGTCTCATTGTTCTCCTGGCAAACCAACTTGTGAGGTGTAAGGCAGGGCAAATTTCACTCACAGTACTATTTTTACCCTCTAAAACCACACAACTACAGCATTTGCCAAAGATCAAATGTTTATTTATTTAAACACTCCAGCATGTATGACTTGCTTTAGATTTTTCGCAATAACTTACATGAGTTATTTGTAAGGAATGAAAAATCAACAAACACATTAACATTTCTGAGATTCCGATGTCCGTACAGAATTTCAGTACCATTATTCACATTTATCACCTGTCATCTGACTACTACTTTCATTCTGTCCAGAAATACGGAAAGCGAAGGCCTATGAGTCATGCCTAGAAAGTTAAGACTCATGCTAAAAGAGATTTTGGCAAAAAATAGAGAGCAAAAGATGCTTCTCAGCTCAGAATTCTCTATGGAAATGGTCTTGGTTCACAGCCCTTATCACGCTACCTGTAGTGCCTGCTATTTGTTACCACCTGAGATGTCACCTCAGGTGTCTCAAATCACTTAGGAACTTTGGTCCTGCAAACTTCAGAGGATGGTACAGCGCTTCCTTGGTGTGACACATAGCACTAAGCATGACTTTGGAATCTGGGGATGTAAAGACTGTCGCATTTAATTTGGTAATGACTCGTAGGGCTTGTACCCTATTTGTGCCCCGACACAGGGTGGACCCACGGCTCTGTCATTAACCAGAGCTTTGGAAGAGATGGGGCAAAAATGTAGTATTTCCATACAACCATAGAACAGGGTCAAAATGTAACAGAGGTGTGTGTTGCATGTGTGCAGAATACATGGGGATGTTCTGAGCTGGGCAAACTAAGCTATATGTTAAGTCTTCTTGTGATTGTGATACTTAAGTGATTTTGGTGCTTGAAAGCTGTGGCTTCTAAAAAGCAAAGCTCTAATATCTTCATGTTTGCCTTAATTTAGTATGTTTTTATTGTTCATACTTTGTATCAAAAGAAAACACCCCTGAAAGGAAACTGCCACAGCAGATGGCATTGAAATGCAAATAGAAGGATTCATATGAGTCCTGTAAGCAAACACTGTGCTGGAGATGCGTGATACTACAATCCTAAAAATTACTTTACAATGTTGGAAGGGAATGCAAAAAGGTTTAAGTAAGAACGATTGCCTATTCCATTGCTGTTTCTCTGGGCAGACATCAATAGAAGACAGTAATGCTAGAAGCTACAGGGACTTGTAGAAGATTATATTACCTGAATTAGGATTAATTGAATAGGAATGAAGAAACTTCAATTAGAAGCAATGTATGTTATACACAAAGATAATTACAGAAAGGAAGTATGACTTGCCAACAAGGAAAACAAACAGTACTACATATCAGCAAAGCATGTTATAGCTGGAGCAGCTGTTTCTATGCTCTAGGTTGCAAGTCTGATGGCTTTTTCTTTTAAACAACGGTTGCTGCCTCTTCCATTTCAGGAGACTAAGAATTAGGACCAGCTGTGGTCCTGTGTGCCACACTGCTAAGCTTAATGTTCAAGAGAGCATTTCTAGTTCTTAACAGCCCTTCTCTTCTGTAGCACCCACTGGTGGGTGACCTTGTCCAGTACTTGTGCCTGTGCTGAGTATTGTGCAACAGGCACCTAAGTGACATGAAGACTTGGCAGCTGATGCTGGAGGCTCTCTGCGTGCTCAGTAGAAGACCTGCAGGTTACCCTGCCAGCAGGAACTGGTGAGGTATGAAGGGTTGGGCAGAGGCTCAAGGGATTATGTAAACATCAACAGTTTTTAATTTCTCTGTGTGAATTCATTAAATTAAGTTCCACTGTGGAAAAAATTGTAATGATTCATGGGCTCACACCTTTGATACTTCTAGGCAAGCACTGGACACTACGAAAAGTGAAGTGTTTTCCCTGAATATAAGCTAGCTGGAACCTGGCTCAGTCTCTTACAGTGCTCCGTGGCAGGTTGTTCTGCTGGAAAGCACAGGTACTTTGGTTACAATGGTATAATTTCTTTGCTGAAAATACCTTTTCTGCAAAAGGGTAATGAATGTGCAGATGAGAGTTTCTCTCAGAATTTAAATGACTGAAAACTTTGGTCTTCTCCTTTTGGTAAACTATGTATGCCAGGAACTATGCATTAGAATAGTTTAACACCACACTCTTATATTTGTGCATATTATATTATGCATTATGTGCATACCACGTTGAGTCAAAGCATGTCTACCAGTTTGGATTATATGCCTTTTACTTTGGCTGAAATTTAGTTATATTTTTAGAAGTATACTGTGGCTTCTACTTCCCAACTCAGGTTTTGAATCTTGTAAATGTCTGGTCTGTCTTTTGTTATATTTATCAATATATTTGTTAGGACTGTGACTAGACCTAATATCTTTTATTATGATTATGCAATTAATCTAATATTTGGCACTTATCTACTAATGAATGTTCATTCATACAATGCTTTATGGTTTTGAAGTGTTACATGATAACTCACTGTTAAGCAGTATTTAAAAAAAATGCTGTAAAATGGAGTGGTTTATAAAACAAGCACAAATAACAGACATCAAACTGATGCATATTACAGTGGTTGGTGCTTTAGTATAACTGAACACATGCGGAGAACTTTAGATGGTGAAAATTTCTCCAGATAGGAAATGTCAAGGCACAGCTCTCAGTATCAAGGCAACTCTATTTACTTTTAGCTGTTGTAGGTTCCATGTCTATGTCCAGGTCTGATGGAGCACAGTAGAAGAGCATCTGAACATATTTTGTTGTCGTAGCTGTAATACAGCAAAAATGTGTGAGAGAAAGTTGTAATAGATCTTAGATATGGATTTTGAGGAAGTTGAAAGCACTACACAGCTATTAGGAAAATCTTAAAGGACCTTAATCAATTGTATTAAGCATGTTAAAAATAGGTAAAGGCAAAAGGAGCTCAATAATTAAACAGAAAATCTTGTTTAATCAGACTTGCATAAAAAATTTAATTGAAATTTCAAATTGATAGCTGAGTTTAAACTGAATAAATATATTCAAGTTTTGCTTTTCAAAACTGCCTGAATTTGCAACTACCCTTCAGGCCAATAATTCATTATTTCGTAATTTATGAAGATGCATGGACTCCTTTGACTTGGATGTTTCATTCCTTAGACAAAAAGCGAAGCAATGATATCATAGAATCATAGAATGGCCTAGGCTGGAAGGGACCTTAGAGATCACTTAATCCAACCTCCCTGTCATGGGCAGGGACGCATCTCAACTAGATCAGGCAACACACAGGGACCACGCAGGGATGCCAGTATTTCTAACTTCCAGGATATCAAAATGTGTGTATTTAATCTTCAAAATTCTACATGGCTTTTATTGACCCACCATAGTGGGTCAACACCAAAAATATTAGATGACCATATTATATCCACATATTGGATTGTTCTGTAGAGGTTTGTATGGTTTTGTTCTAAGGACCATGTAATGAAGCAAATGATCCCAGACATGCCATATGCAAAGGCATAGCAAAACTTCATAAAGGAAAAGGATTCTAGGATAAATTAATCTTTCTTTCTTCTGACAAAGCACTCAGAATTTTGGCACATTCTCTAGGATGAGATGATGCTTCTGCTTACCAGAGAGCCACTGTAGACATTTAGGTCGTTTTTCAACTGGCAGATAGACTCCCAAAAAATATGCAAAAGAGAGGGCAATACCAATGCCAATAAGGGAATTGATTGTGTCGCTGTAGAGAGGAACTATGACCAGGAAAAGGGAACATAAACAGTATGCTATAGGGAAGAAGAGGTTAAGCTGTGGAAACAAACAAACAAAAAAATCCCAACATTTATTAAAAGATGTAAAAATGTTAAGCTTTGCAGATTAAAGACGTTTTACTAACAAAAATACATCTATTGGCTATATGACTACTACGTACTGAATCGTTTGACAGCCTACAATCAGTATAATCTGCTGTCTTTGTGTACGCTGCTGAGAGACTCTTATTTGGTACACACTTGGGTAGCTGATCATTTTCAGGCTGCACAAGCTCAATTCCATGGGAATTAGTGAGATCAGTCTTTGAAAGCAGTATTTTAAAACTGATCAGTAATGAGTAGTTTTCCCTCTAACTTCAACTGCAAATTTTTAAGTGTTATTTTGGTTGGGAACTAACTCAGCTAGACTTTTAATTACCATGTTGGTGCTACAGAACGAAGGGACTGTTTTACAAACATTTTGCCTGAGCACTTAGCAAATATCACACGACAAATAAACAAAGTTGTAATAATCTCTTTATGAATTTATTTTTTGAGTAAAATATTTTTCACTCTCTGCAGTAATGAGCCTTCTTAAGAGTCTAGGAGTTGAGATTTGAATACTTGCTGTAACCCCTGGGAGTTTACTGGTATAAATATTTATGTTTTCTTACAGAGATTAAGAATGTAAATTGATGACAACCACCTGCTACATAGCAGAAAAGAAAAAAGTGTATGTGGGCTTGTGACGTTGACTAAGCTGGTAAATGCTTATAGGAATTAAACAGTAATTATCCATAATCTGACTGTAATCCTTGCTTTAGTAGTCAGTAGCAAAACTGCCAATAAGGTAAGATTTAATCCTTATCTTCCACATGTTTTGGAGGAGACTTTGGAAATGAAGTGTGATGATGCTTAAGGAAAATTTGGTCTGCTCTGGAAGACTAGAAAGTTTTCTAGCAGTAGGTGCTTGGGATTTTTTATGCTCTTCCTTGAACCATGTGGTTATTTTATAATCAGGCTGTTACATTTGAATGGAAAAAAAATGTATTGCTAAAAATGGTTTAGGAGGTTACGAAGAGAAAGTGACATGGAAAAAATGTTTAGATTGAGTCTCAGTTTGGGTTTCTCATAATTTTCACTGCATCACTGCAGAGTCAAAATGCAGGTCATAGAGCCAACAGTGCGCAGCGAAACGGGAGCCAGAGAATGTTTCTGTGTGCCTGGGGGAAGCTGTGCATTTCCGTCTCCACTTCCCAGACAATCACTGGATTAAAACTAGACACAAGTTTTAGGCGTGCTTTGTTTTTGTGCAGTCTCCCTCTCCCAATAGCCAGATGCTCTTCTACAGTCAACCACTAATTTTGCATTTTACTCTCTATGACTGCTATGTAGTGAGGGGATCAACAAAATATATTTAGTTATTCACGCTTTTGAACTCCTACAGTCTGCTGTGAACATTACAAAAGGGGGTTGTTCCAGGCGGGCATTTATTTATTCCTTGTTTATTTTTAAGTAACGATAGTTATAAGGTTGAGTGAAAGAAAAAAGAAATGGTAAATATAATTTCAACCTCACAGTAAAAGTACTAGAACAGATGTTCTTGTGGAAAGTCAGATGGGTTTTGCTCCTTCATTTCCAATCTTGGATGTTGAAAGGATTTCTATAGCTGATAGTCTATAATGTAACTGATAATATTATGGTTGTGGTATTAAGGATCATGTAAACACGTGCATTAAGCTGGCTTTTAGGGCTTGTCTACTTACTTTAACAGGCCGTGGTCTGTGTGGCTGGGTATATCTCAGATATATTAGTCCTGCAATAGACAGACCCACAAAGAACCAGTAGTTGAAGCAGTAGTAATTAATGAGGACGAAAACGTCTTCCACAAGGAGATAAAGCAAAGTCATTAAGCCCTAGAGATAATAAAAACAAAGACTTTTTAATGTGAAAATAAAGACATGGCTTATAAAATTAAGAGAAAGTAAGTTATAAAATGGCCTGTTTCCAATGTACTTGTCTGGACTAAGAAATTTGGACTTTGCAAGGAGGACATACTTAAAACGCTGAGATATCTGCAGATACGCTGTGTGAAACATGCTGGTGTCTCTTCCTTAAACACAGCAGTGAGACCACCACATTTGGCTGAAGAGGTGTCGGGTTTGTGAAGCTGTGTTTCAGCATCGGCAGGAAACCCTCCTAAGGCCAGTTGAGGAGCCCCAGACTCTGCTGCGCTAAGGAGAAGACTAAGAAGCTTTCTGTAGGTAGTGGCTTACTCTGCTGTTCTGGTTACCTTAAATCAAAAGAAAACTTTAAATTTACTTTTACTGTTGGGGGCTCTCACAGTTCACTCATACACTAAGAACATTATAGCAAATTCTGTGGTATGCCTGTTTGCTATACTGCCTGCATGGAAAGACCTAAAATACCAGGAATTTAATGTCTGTTTTAACAAGCGGTGTATTAAGGGAGCCTAGCTTATCTTATTGGTACAAGCAGAATCCCTCTGAGAAGAGTATTTATAATTAGGTTATAACTTTTAGTAAAATATTTGATGTCAGACAGGACCAGTATGATAATCTATTCATAAACCATTGTAACACAGGGCAATGGAAGACACCAGATGAAATCATGTTGAGATAAACAGCAGTGAAATGCTTTTGAATGATTCTACATTCTCTGTTTGTGCATATCCTTCCCCTTACTTTAAACCATTAGATTTATGGATTATGTATTAAAATCACTTGCACTAATTCTATACTTTATGGTTCCTTGATTTTGGGTCACAAGATTCATTTGTATAGTGACAGCAGGAAAAAGTCAGTATGGCTATAGGCATCCAGCAAAAAAAATCAAGTGTTTTGTCATTACTATCATAAATAGAGTCCTAGAAAATCAGTCTGTGTCAGGGTCTGAAGATGTTCCTACCATATTCTTCTCCAGTGACACACTGAAAACTCACATAAGGACTGTTAGAATCCTGTCTACACTGTTACATGTTTAGCCATTCTCTATTTTCTGAGTGTTGTCATGATACTCCTCACTCATCTTATTCGTATATGAATGTGAATCAAGCCATTCTCTTTCCACTTGGCAAAATAATGCCACCACCTTCAGTGTGGTTTAGAAATTGTGGGCATTTGAGGAAGATGACCCTGATTACTGCAGGAGGGTTGCACTAGATGACCTTTAAAAGTCCTTTCCAACCCAACACATTCTATGATTCTCCAGAGCAGAAGCCCAGGAGAATGACTGGGCACAGGCGAGGTGTTCTGCTCCCCGTGTCCGAACCCCTGGCTGGGCACAGGGCTGGGCTGTCACTTACATTGAAAAGGAGAGCAGGGACTGGTGTGAAGCACTTTACATGGATCAAGCTCAGACTGTCAGGGAGGTGTCCTTCCCTGGCTCCAACATAAAAAAGCCTAAAAAAAAGAAGATGACACAACCAGACAGTGAACCAAGGAATAGATTGTTGCTTTCTGACAAAGGCAGCATTAATTCTTTCATTACTCTATTGTAAATGCTGCTTTCTTCTCAAGTGGCTTTAGTTTATCAATTGGTGGTGATCATGAGAAGACATGTCAGTTCGTAACAATCCTTTCATCATGAAGGATCAACTTGACACAGGAAAAAAAATGTCACTTTTACAATGCAGTAGTGAAGAATGCAGATTAATAATAAATGTCTCTTATTCAATTATTTAAAATAAATCCTGTATTTCATACCTAGATGCTGCAATTATTGATGAGTTTAAGCTACTATAGCAAGACATGGCCACTGCTATAGGAATTATCCACTTAGCATGACTAAGGGTTTCATCGGCAAACGTCTGTAATAGAAAAAGAAATAAGAGTAAGTCCAGTCATCTTAAGCATATGGAAATTTCTGGAAAACTCTTATGAAAACACACTAGCCCAAATTTAGTGTCATAGCCCTATGACACCTAATAATGACTTGAGAAAGTAGAATTTGGAATAATTGATCAGTATTGAAATAAAAATGGTGGATTCATTAAAAGAAGATCTTAAGAAAAATAATTCTAAGCCTAGATCAAATTAATGAGATAACGGAAGAAAACGTATTGGCTTCAACGTATTCTGATCCTGCCTGTAGAAATCTATGTGTTGTAACTGTACTTCTGTATAAAATATTAGTAAGGTTTTAAAAAGCACTGCACATTTGTGTGTTGAAAATATTGCTGTGTTTCTGCAGCATCAAACATCACACACTGTACATTAGAATGACAGCAAAAACTCCTGATTATTAAAACACCTGCACTTTTCATAGTTCTTTCTCTGACTCTGGGAAAAGCATCTTTTACAATGAAGTACGGTTACAAACAGGATTTAGAGAATATATATGAGGATTTGAGAGAAGCAGATTTACTATATGTATTCTTTATACGCTCCTTCTAATATACTGCTACTTTTACATGAAAACAAAGTTTAAAACAAAGCAACAGCCTTCAGCATGGAAATATTTCAATTGTTTTGCCAGGAAGTATGCTACGTGAGATTTTCCCACAGTGTCATCCATACAGTAACTTTTGTTTTAATTATTTTAGACAACTCACCACAGCCACTGCATCACTTGTGATGATTATTGACATGTCCAACACTATATAGTATGCTATATTAGTCAACAGGTAAATAAGAGTCACAATAGGCATTGAAATTGCAATAGAAAGAGGTAAATTCCTGTAGAGGGAAAATGAAAAAATTATTTCATGTTCTTCAAATAAAGAATATTTAAATAGAAGATTGCTCCCAAATTCAGATATTTGTGAATGGATACCTCCATCACTTTTTGCAATCCATCCTTTTATAATAGTGGGGTTACAAAATAATATACGACTGTGTGGGACAATTCCATAAGCAGCTTAGTAATGGCTACCTGTGGTTCTGTCACAAGTTGTAGAGAAAAAAGTTGTACAGTTATACCTATAAATATCATATACTCTCTTTTATATGAAGCAATGTAAGAGAACACTTAAGCAAAGAGATTTAAATGCACACTTAGGAGTTTTCTTGATCATGGTGCTTTTTTTCTGACTCATAACCTATGCATGTCTCAAGACAAGGCAGATGACATCAGTCTGAGTAGGTGAGGCACACAACTCCCACGGAGTTGACATCTCTGCAGAGGGGAGGAGGTGGTATTTCCAGTGCTACTGTGGATATTTTTATTTTTTACTTAACCTTTCATCTTTAGCAAAATTAAACATTTTGCCCATAAGCAGTAATGCTGAAGATCACATGACAAAACAGTCATGAACCTGACACAGTCTTACTCTACTGGTGGCAAAACCAGTCCTGGAAGAATAAAATAATTATTCTGTCTGACTGAAAAGAAGTAGGGAATCTTAGAGAGCTAGATGGACTCATGCTTTCTCTCTTCCTTCAGCAAGGATTTCTTCTCCTCCTTTAAAAATTCTGGTCTAAAGTGTAAGATGTAAAATATGCAGACAAATGATTTATTAGTGTGATACGATCGATGAGGGAAGACAATAATCGGAGTTCTCACACTTCTTCTTTAGAAAAGAAAGTTTTTGCAGAGAAAATAGCTTGATTAATTTCCAGTCAGAAACAAATACAGAGCAGCTTGTCCTGCCATCACCTGTCTTACAAGGACACTTCAGCTTTTCAAAGGAAAAGCATGCGTTTACCTCTCAGGATTCTGCATTTCCTCAGTGATGTAGTTGAGCGTGTCCCATCCTGAGTAGGAGAAGAGGGCAGAGTAGAGAGCCAACGCAATCATCCCTGGGTTTGTTGCTGAGCCCTCGAACGTATTTCTCAGATTGTCTGTTTCTCCTGTACAAACGGCAGGTAGCAACTCTCTGTTACATTTCAAGGATTATGATGCGGAAGGACACTACGCTAAAAGTCTCAGCTAACCGAAAAGAGATAAAACCCCACCACATCCAGGTTTCATTAGTATTTCTAGAAGTGCACAGCTTATACTTCCGCTTGATAAATAGGAAAGTTTCAGTCATACCTACAGATAGATACTCTTGTACGGGGAGATAGCAGAAGACATTTTCCTGTGGTTGTTAATTAGATGTGACTTGTGTAATTCTATCAGAATTCACAGTGTTCTCATGTCCAGCCTATGCCATTCTATGATTCTATGATTCTATGTCCTGGCACTGCTGTATACCCTACCAGAGGAAGGAGACATACTAAGATTGTGTTATGTCCTTCCGCTCAGGGAGAGGCACTTGGGAAACCCAATTTCAGTTCCTAAATCTGTCTCATATTTGTTCCTCATATCTATTTTCACCAGCTGAATTAGCAGCCACTGGGGAGGGAACACCTGGAGTCATGGTTCTTGGTGGGATGCTCTGCCCCACATAGGTGTTCCCCAAAATTAAGAGAGGAGACCTCAAAAATCTTTCCTTTCAAAATTCTCTTCTAATTTAGCGCAATTGGTTGAGATGACAACCTGCAGAGCACTGCAAGACAGATGAAATATTAATGAAACTGCACGTGCCTTCACTGCGCTTCTGGGAAGGGAAAGAAAGGCCTGGCTGAGTTTGCAGGAGGGAAAGCCAACTGCATAGTATAAATGGAAGTGGGTTAACTATGAAAGAAGACAGAAACATGGTGAAACCTCTGTTAGGGACGAAAGTAAGATCTTAGCTGTAATATGGAACAACTTCACGCTGCAGTTGAACTAAGGAGTTTATAGATAACACAAAAGCAACTCAGTCTTTGAAGAGCTGTAACTACTAGGAGACTGAGCTGAAGAAGGTGAAACTACAGAATGTACACACACTTTGAGGAAGAAAATGGTTGGAAAGAAAAATAAAAAAAAATCATAAGGACCAAGAAAAGCTCTTTTAAAGACAGCTGATATTCAAAATCATGTATATTTACAGTGTTTTTAAAAAAAGATGTGTAAGTGAGCACATCAGAAGTAATATGGCAGGGCTAAAACATCATAATCATTGGTTTCCTTAAAAGAGCTTCTGAGTTTAAAAGAGTGCACTGACCCAATCATAGCTTCCTCCAGAAGTCTACATCATTCCTCCTCCTGGTCTTTTCTGCATTTAAGGGCTTAGTTCTGCTTAAACAAAGCAGAGACGAGACCTTTACTACCACTAAAAGCCCTCAGCATTTTGAGTTCCTCACAATATTTCCTCTCTGCCTTGACCCTCCCTGACCCCACAGAGCAAAGCAAAGAACCCTGTGGGTGTTATGTGGATGCAAGACCAGAGGGAATGGCCCCTGGTGAAAACACAGGTAAATTCATGACTATGGGGACAGAGCAAAGCTGCTGTAGGGGTAAACCACAGACTCAGAACTTTAAAACTGCAGCAGCTTTATGAGGGAACTACTCCATCATGTAACGGCAGCCTTTAAACAGTGCTCTTCCTCTGCATTTTCACATTTGTGCCCTTAGGACTGGGTTCGTTCAGGTTTTGTTAGGCTTGAACAAACCAATGACAACTGACATGCATGGATACTGGCTAAACAAAAAAAAATCTCTCTTAAAAGCCTGAGGTAGCTTTACAGTGTAACAGCTGATGCATTAGAACTGCAGCTAAGGAAAGGAGAAAGACAGCAAACACAGAAGGGCAAGTGCACTCATTAGGTTTACTAATCTAGTTTCCGCAGGAGAAAAAAGACAATTCCTGAACCAAAAAGCGAAAACCATCTTTATTTTAACTGAATAAAGATATAACAGCTATTTAGGAATTTCATGGAAAAGGAAAATGAAGAAACCTTAGTAACTAAGCAACAAATAGAGTTGGAAGAGTCTTCACTGTACCAGAGACTCAAATTAATATAATATAATCTATTTTCATATGCAAAGATCAGAGGAAGCGCCAGAATAAACTGGTCTCCAGCTTTTCAGTGTAGTCAATTCAGTGCAATTACTGCTGATATAGCATGGCTCATCTGTCCTGTGATGTACCGCAGTGATTCATAGGACCTCCCTAGTCCTCTCCCTTGTCTCTAGGACCAAGCTCACCCTCTCATCAATGAATCACAGAATCACACAGAATCACAGAATATTAGAGGTTGGAAGGGACCTCAAAAGATCATCTAGTCCAGCCCCCCTGCCAGAGCAGGATCACCTACAGTAGGTCACACAGGAACGCGTCCAGGCAGGTTTTGAACGACTCCAGAGGAGACCCCACAACCCCTCTGGGCAGCCTATTCCAGTGCTCTGTCACCCTCATACTGAAAGGATTTTTTAATGTTTTTGTGGAACCTCCTGTGCTCCAGCTTGCACCTGTTGTCCCTTGTCCTTTCATTGGACATCACTAAGAAGAGCCTGTCTCCATCCTCCTGACCCTCACCCTTCATATCTATAACCATTAATACATATTTATAAATATTAATAAACTTTAATGAAGAATGAGTTCCCCCCTCCTCAGTGTGTGTCTGCAACAGGCAGGGAAGGGCAATTGGGGATGTGGAGTGATGCAAAGGACTCATCTGGCAATTTTGGCTGTGCTGTCCTGTCATGGGACAGTAGCAACTCCAGCCTTTAATAAGCGTGAGTCAGAGACACTGAGGCTGACTTTAAACTAGTTAGCACTAAACTGTTGTTAATTCACCTTCTATTTGCTATTCAGCCCGAGCAACACAGAACTTGGCATGTGTTGGTTCGCCACGTTAAAGATAGAACAATAATTAAACGCCCATTGCCTAACAAGCTTTAAAATTCCTCTGACCTTCCTATGGCAGATGTTTTTTTCCAAAATAGAGACCACTTTCTAAGTCTTAAGGAGCCTGGTCTTCCCACACAGGTTGTGAAATTCATATATGGTTCATTTTTAAGAATTTAAGTAAATGGAAATTATTCTTACCTTTACCAATTTTGTAAAGGCCAACAGATACCACCAAGATAAGAGCCATAACTTTAGCATATGTGAAAATATCTTGCACACGGGTTCCCCATTTCACATTAACACAATTAATAAATGTTAAGGAACCTGCAGAGAAAAAGAACATGCATGAGAGAACCGCTGTATATTTTACATCACTTAAAACATATTTCAAATCAATCTTTCCAGATACCACCATTTCAGGACGACCTAGATTTATTAAAGTGAATGATATACTTGGTTTAAGATTTACACAACAGTTTTCTGAAGTACGCCATTTCCATGACAATAGATAAGACAAAACACATCAACTTTTGAATTTTAGGACCACCTCCTGCTCATTTTAAATAATCTTTAAATTTTACTAAAGGCAACAGAGTTGCTCACATGCAAAAGGTGAGATTTTTTTATATCCTTTTGTTTACAGTTTATATCCTTACTTCACAGTTTTCCCCCAAGTTCTCCACACTCTAGCCTATATACAGAGTAAGGACAACTTCTACATCAAAAAATTTGGATGCGGTGGATAAGATACTGAAATGAGTCAGGCTAGCACACTGTTACTCTGTGCCCATGGATTAGAATCCTTTTCATCCACACTTTGACCCTGAGTCTGAAGATTACAGAAGTACTTACAAAATTCTCTCAAGCCTCAGTTTTGACAGAATCTAATAGGAATACAGAAGCAGCACTTGATTTGCCACCAGTATTTCCTACTAATATACTAATGTTATGCAATGGGGACAGAATTCTGTTTTTATTCTTGTATTAAACCCCCCCAATATCTTATATAATGATCACTCCTAATGTCAGGTTTAAGTATAAATTTAAACATGTCTGTAAATAATGACTTCCATAAACCTTGCTCTAGTAAAGAAAGAGGGGCAGAGAAGTTGCCCTCTACATCAGGTTGAAAGCTTATGGGCAAGAATTAGAGACTGAGGCATCAAGGAGAACCTTGTGGCTGGTGCCTTCCACAGGCTACCCGATCAAGGGGGGCCTGCTGATGAAACCTTCTTACTCCAGCTACAGGAGGCTTCATGTGTGCGGGCTCTCATCCGGCTGGGGGAATTCAGCCACCCCAATATCTGCTGGAAAAGTAGCATGATGAGCTGTAGGCAATCTTGGATAACTTCTGAGGCCAGGTAATGAGCAAGCTTACCAGAGGGAATGTGATACTTGACCTGATGGTCAGCAATGCAAGTGAGCTAATTGGTGATGTCTGGATTGGAGGCAGCGTGGGCTGCAGTGATAATGCACTGGGTGAAGTTTGCAGTCCTGAGGGATATAGACACTTTCCATAGAACACAAGAGCTCTCAATCGCCTTTTGTAAGAAAGCAAGCAAGGAAGACAAGACACCAGCATGGCTGAGTCGAGACCTGCTGGTCGAACTAAAGGGCAAGAAGGAAATGCACAGGCAGTGGAAGTAGAGGCATATATCCTGGGAAGAGTATAGAGACACTGCCATTATGAAAGGATGGGATCAGGAAGACCAAGGTGTGGCTGAAGCTGAACTTGGCAAGGGATGAAATGAAACTGGAGAAATTGGTTGCTCATGGCTTGGACAGGTGAAAATTTTGAGGGGTGAAAAGCTAGCTGGATGCCCAGGCCCAAAAAGTCATGGTGAACAGAGTTAAATCCAATCCAGGCTCTAATCAATCTGATCTAGTTAAAGATGTGCCTACTCATTGCAGAGGGGTTGGATGAGATGACCTTTAATGGTCTGTTCCAACCCAAATTATTCTATGATTCTATGATTCTGTGATTCTGTGGTTCTATGATTCTAAATGTGACATACACATTGAAATAAGTTTGTATGCCCTATAATTTAAAAAAAATCTTTGTAGTAGAACTTAACTGTATACCTCTTACATAAAAGTACAGTAGTATATATCAGTAACTGCTAGAATTATAGGTTTATTTCTTAAAAATGAAGTGTCTGTTGACTGATGTTTTCAATACTGAATATTTAGGAGTCATTTGTGATGCTATAAAGTGCTATTTGAAACACTGGAAAGAACATGTTTTACTGCATGCATTTTTAAGTTTATATGAATTTTCAGATTTTTTGACTTTTTTTTCGATTTGCAAGAAATACGGGAGAGAGCATGGACCAATTTGGCCCGAGATCCATAGAGATAAATGTATCTTTCATCAGCAGTCATAATTTTCCCCAGCCAAATTGCTGTGATTCTCCTTTGTTCCCTAATAATCCTAACTCCAAACAAAATCCATCTGAATAAAAGATTATTGACTCCTAAGAACATGCTTTAGAAAGGCAATAATTATTTTCACAGAATGCAAATGAATAAAAATTCAGAAAAATCTCTCTGGGCACCTACAATTATAGTTCTTAACTTCTAGGAATTATAATTTTACTTACATATACAAGCAGCTGCAATCAACCTGACGGCGTCATATGGCGGCTCACAATGAGGAAAAATAGGTTGAACAATATAGTTAGCAAACGTGATAGCTATCACTGCCTGAGTTGTTGGTTCAATGATTAGCAAGGAAGACCAGAGTCTGATGAAGGCCACAAATGCACCAAATGCTTCCAAGATATAGGCATAACTGCCTCCAGATTTAACAATGGATGTTCCCAACTCAGCGTAACACAAAGCTCCGAACAGTGAAAATATCCCACCAAGTGCCCAGATGACTAGAGACAGTCCACAGGAAGCACTGTACATTAAAACACCTCTGGGTGACACAAATATCCCAGAGCCAATCATATTGCCCACAATTAAAGAAATCCCATTTAGTAATGTGATTTGTTTTTTCATCTGCATTTTTTCACTTGTCTCTGCCATTTCAGCTTTTCCATTCATAGCTCTGGATTTTTTATTGCAGCACATTTTCCAGGGCGCTGGCATCTTCAATTCTCACTACCTGAAAACAAGAGGAGAGAACATCTTTTGTAACGCACATGGCAAAAGAGACATGGATAGGATAATTAGCATAGAAATCGTAAATAGTACAAAGAGTAATTATTTTGCCTGTTTTTATCTTGCAGTCCAGAAACCACATACTAGTGGATTTTCTTCACTTTCACTGTTTCATACCATTTTGATGTATAAATGTGAGGCTGCTGTCTTTGGTTATAGATTCTGAATCTTTCATGAACTCTGAGTTCACTTTCATTATTTATCTTGAACTATAATTCTACATTATGTTATTGATGCTACTTTAGGAAAAAAGGATACACTGTACCCCTGGAAACATGTTCTAATACAGTTATACTTCTCCTTATATTTTGTTCTCATGCCAGGAAAAACTTTATTTCAGTATTATTTATTTCATCAAATCATATCCACCTGAAAATTATCTGCTGAGGAACACAAGAGAAAAGAGAAAAAAAAAGATACTCAAGAACTCCAGCCTCAGGTTAACATTAATGTGAGGATTAAGAAGAGAGCTTTAGCTGTTCCTAGAGATGAGATTACTGCTGTAGAGAATAATGCAGCTTGTTTAGTTATTAACCTCACTTGACTTCTGGGTAGAAACCACTGGCATACAAAAGGATTGAGTTTTGAACACCCTGTCCCTTGGAACACTTTTGTATGAAGGAGTCCAACAAAACATCAATGTACAAGCTTCCCTGTCTGGTGCTTGCAGGGCAGGATCCAAATATGATGGGAGCTGGGAGAAGTGACGTAACTGCACAGATACGTTGATAAATCAGCCTTTTACACACATCGTACCCTCTGGATCTGAGGTCCTGAGGGATGGGGAAGGAAATATAACAGCCAGGACTCAACTCTTGAGTCCTGCTGATTCATACCAATGCTTACTTAAAACAATGAATTATTTTGGTGCCTCTCTCAAAAGAAATTTATTTCTCCTTCTCTTCTCTCCTCTACACACACTCTAAAACACTTCCAAAGAAAACTTCCGTGAAATTTTATGAGCTAAAGCCAAGTTATCCAAGTAGAACAAAGCTCCTCCATGCAACACTGGCCAAAAACATTTGACCACAAATTTATGTTTTTAAAACGTGGGTCAATGTCCAGTTTAAACAAAGAACCTGCCCTCCCCAAACTTCCTGAAAGGTTTGCTTTCTTTTGTAAAGTATGTCTTTTAGCAGCCCTGAATAGTTTATAAATATATGTGTTCTTTTCCAGCTTTTTTTTTGGTGCAATTCAGTTTCCTAGTTGATCAGATAAGTAATGAGGCCTGATGAAGGTTAAAGATTAAAAGACATCAAACTCTCTTTAAAAATTAAATGCTTTCCTCATCCCAATGGCACTTTCTCTAACCACAGGAGCACTGTGGAAACACTGGTGTAAAGTTAAATATTAATTCTTGCTACAGGTATTCAATAGAGACTGCTAAGTCTCCTATCTTTTGCTGACCTCCTCTTTACCTCTTTTGTCTCACTTTTTCCCTTTAAGAATAAAAAACCAGCAAGTTGGTCTGGGGGGAGGATTTTCAGGCATCCATTACACCAGTCTTGTATCTTCCTTAAAATTCCTGATAAACATTTCCAGTTTCCTACTAACACCATTTTTCTGTTTGTGTGAAAGAAAGGACCATTTTAAGAACAAAATCTTTTAAATAGCTTATGCCCACCCCTCTTCCACTCCCCCTAAGTTAATAGAAATATTCCCACTAGATTTGACAGTGCACTGATTTCATCAGTGATGAAAAGAATTTGAGGCTATGCCCAGTGTCTGTTGCCACAGTTTAACCCCTTCTCTCATTTATAGCTCCTGCTATTTTGTTCCTACTGAACCTGGCCTGTAGTCCTGCCTTATCGTCGTTGCTGTCACTTCATCCACATGCTACCATCGCCCCTCTCTGGGACCATCACTGTTGCTTGTACTTCAAAATGGTGTGCCGAAAAAGCTTAAGCTAAGAAGCCTAGATCTTCAAGCATGGCTGTTCTCTGTCACCTAGGCATGTCAGTAAGTCACACTTTGAAGGGTGCACATAATCCAAGTGAGAGCCAGTATGAGCTAAAGTCTGGGAGGGCTTACATGCTGGGGACAACCGTCAGGTTGGTGGTCATTTTCAGTTGGAAAATCATGTATTATAATAGCTAACATATTCTTATGGTGAATTGTCTAGCAGTGGCTTCTGGAGAATGGAAAGATTTAATTTATGCAGTAATTTAAAAAGGGAGTTTCTTTGCGATTCTGGCATTCTGCTTTAGCACGGTCATGTTTTTTAAAGGCTAGCTCTATTACAAGAATAAAACTTTATCACAGAATCACAGAATCACAGAATGTTTGAGGTTGGAAGAGACCTCGAAAGATCATCTAGTCCAGCCCCCCTGTGAGAGCAGGATCACCTACAGTAGGTCACACAGGACGTGTCCAGACGAGTTTTGAGTGTCTCCAGAGAACGAGACTCCACAACCTCTCTGGGCAGCCTGTGCCAGTGCTCTGTTACCCTCACAGTGAAAAAGTTTTTCTAATATTTTTGTGGAACCTCCTATGTTCCAGCTTGTACCCATTGCCCCTTGTCCTGTCATTGGACATCACTGAAAAGAGCCTGGCTATGACATCAAAAATAGAAGTACATGTATTATAGTGGCTCTTGTGTATGAATTCTGAAGAGCAAGACATAAAAGCTCCCTGACTTGAAGGAATGTTCCTGCTCTCTTGGTCGTGCAGACTGTGACAAGCAGAAAGAACTATTGCTTTCTGGAAATCAGATTCAGACAGGCATCATCGTGCTGATGTTCCACAGAGGCTGCAGCAGGCTGAATGAAACAGCTGCATACATTTGCCTGTGCCTTGCATCAGCAGAACTTCAGAACCTTGTTTCCATGCAACTCCCGCACTTCCTTAGGGGCTGCCTCAACAAATGGAGGAAAATTTTCCTCTCAGAAAATGCAGAATGCCTTGAGAGCACAGACAGGATTAATGGCCCTAAACCCTTTGTAATCTTATGTTTATATCCCAGCTTTATGCATGGAGAGCAGCAGAAAGGACTGGTAGACCCACACCTGAGAAGTTAAAGAAAACAGTAACAACATATACAGGTAATTCTCAGTAGCTCATTTTTGAGTCAAGCCACTGCCAGAAGCCATACAAAAAAAGTGAAGGAAGAAGGGACAGCTTGATAGCAGTTGAAAATCAGAGCTGAACTTAAAAACAGTTCTTCCATAAATTAATGCAGGACTGGTTACACAAGGCAGGATTTTCTCAGACACTTCCCATCCTTTAGGAATCTACAGCCATATGAGTGATTGCCTCCTTCTTCAGGAGGTAATTAACCTTTGCCAAATGATTAAGCAAGGCTTAGTCAGGCACTATGGAAGTGTGACATCTTGTAAACTGCTCCATAGACTTCCAGAAGGACCAAGCTGCCTCTTTGTTAGGACATGTTATCTCAGCTTTGAATTAAAGAAATACTAGTAAACAAGAGGATCTCTTTCAGAGACTAAATATTATTCCCTTCGGCAGATTCCCTTGAGAACTGATGGCATCTAGAAAGTCATCTCCTATCAAAGATGTTGCAACATGCTGGACATCAAATTTACTAAACATTATTTCAGATAATTTAATGGCCTTTTCCTTAGGTGATTGCTGTCTTCTGCCACACAATTTCTCCGTAATGAAAGTCTGCTATGCCACCAATGAACATAACAAAGTCAAACCAGGCAATAAAACTGCTAAATCCCAATATTCTCTGGTTTCAGTCAGAAAATTAATGACATTAAGGATGATATTTAGAAACAAAATATAGCATATTTTAATTATGTATGTACTAGAAATCAATATATATGTAGAAAGCCATTTTAAAAGTCATGAGCAATCTCTTATTTTCTCCAAGTATACTCTAATTTTCTCTTGCCTATAGCAGATTTATCAAAAATAATAAAAGATCACAACCATATACATTTATATTAATAGCTATTCAAACATGAAATTAGATGAGCCAGCAGTTTTCAACATGACCACAAATGTGTAGATCAAACTTCAAAACATTGTTGCTGAGCATAACCTTAAAGGGTCTTAAAGGGTGTTTGTGACAGATTATACTGTTGAACGTCTTCCAAAGAGGAGATCAAGCAAACAAAACAAGATTATACATGATGAAGAAATAGCATGAAATAAAACACTCTTAGCAATAATAATAATAAAAGCAAATAAAAACAAAAAATCCACTTTGACCTCCTCTGAAGAAAACATATCTCACTCAGTAGGAAATGAACATATTTGCTTTTGGGTTTTAAATTTTATGTTCATGAAAATATTTAATGAATTAATGCTTCACATGCTGCGACCACATTACTGTGGTCAGAGGCTGGTTTTCCTGTAGGAATGACTTGCCCCCCTCAGCACCCCATTCCCATACTAAAGCAAATCACAGAGGGTATTTGAGAGAGAAGTTACTGCAGTCCAAATCTAAGAAAGGTATTAAAATGAGAAGGTAGCAGCTTACCAGAGGTTAGGTGATATACTTGCTTCCTTTAGCAGAAAGACTACTGTAATTGAATAGTGACTCTCTAGCTGCTGCTTTAAATTTGTTTCACCAGGACAGGTATGTTAACGCTAATAAAAGGAGCCTCTTCCCTCTGTTTATGCTTGCCTTTAGCTGCTGTTTTTATTACAGTAGAATGAATGCTAAAATCACAAGAGCTTTCAAGAAGAAAGATCCCAGACTCTCCTGCAATGTGGTTTCCCTCAACTGAGGACATTAGCAGGCAGAAGCAGGCAGCTTAAATATCAGCTGCTCTCTATTCCTTAGAAAGTTGTTATAGAAGTAAGACAAAAGGAAGGTTAGGGGGAAGAAGTCCTTCATCCATGTGTCACTGCAACAATAGTTCTTTCCCAACTTCTGTTGGGAAATAACACCTCCAAGATGTTAATGTGAAACAAATGAAGTCTACTTCCTTCTTGTTAATTTAGAAAGCCACAATAAG